GTGATCTAGCAGCACCACTGGCTGTTTTCTATCAGCGATGTTTAGAAGAGAACGGTATTCCACCAGTGTGAAAGCGAGGGGTCATCACCCTTATCCATAACGGAGGTAGCCGCACTGATCCTGCCAACCACCGTCCAATAACTACCTCCCGTACCATCCAAAATGATGGAATCAATCATCGCAGATGCGCTGATGCAACACTTGGAAAGCCACAATTTAATAGCCCCAGAGCAACATGGCTTTCGACAAAAGCATTCGTGTAATACTAACCTATTAATTGCACGTAATAGCTGGAGTGAAGTTGTTGATGATGGAGTAGGAGTCGATGTCATCAACCTGGACTTTTCAAAAGCGTTTGATCGCTTAGACCATCGCATTCTCCTTCAGAAGCTTCAGAACTACGGCATTGACGATCCAATCCTGAGTTGGATTGGCAATTTTCTACAAGAACCACGGCCAGTGTTGAAAGTCCTAGAATCATTATCTGATGCAATCGATGTGGCATGTGGAGTACCACAAGACTCGGTTCTTGGACCTCGTCTATTCTTGGTGTTCATTAACGATTTGGCGAGATCAACTGCTTCCGATTTCCTATTTTTCGCTGATGATATCAAGATATGGCGAATGATCAGAGGACCGGACAACCACGAACGGCTCCAGTGCGATCTTAACACAGTGTCGAACTGGTCAGTTCAAAACGCCCTACCATTCAACGTAGACAAATGTCGCGTTGTACAATTACGCCATAGACATAACTACACCTATTTACTTGGGACAAACGGATCGCAGAATAGCTCCCAGGAACGTGACCTTGGTGTGATCGTACAGAGCGACCTCAACTGTTCAAAACAGGCTGAGTTAGCTGCAAAAGTGGCAACCAGCACGTCGGCATGCTGCGAAGGGCATTCGGGAGATTTGACCCATCAATCTTCCCAATGATGCACAATTCCTACTTGCGCCCGCATGTTGAATACGCAATCCAAGCTTGGCAACCTTGGTTGAAGCGCGACCTAGAAGCGATAGAGGCACCACAACGAAGAGCAACAAAGAATGTAAAGGGCCTGCACTATCACTCTTACCACCGAAGGCTGAAGTTGCTGGGAATTTTCAGCGGACGCTATCGAAGGCTGCGCGGCGATCTCATATTAGCGTATCAGATAGTGAGTGACCCCAACCACGTATGCCGCCATTTGCTGAAACTTAGCCACAACACGCAGCTCAGGGGTAACTGCTTAAAGTTGAAGGAACAATATAGCCGTCTAGAGTGTCGACGGAATTACTTTTCCCTTCGGGTTTGCCAGCCCTGGAACGCACTCCCAGACTCAGTTGTATCCTCTCCTACCTTGGACGTTTTCGAAAAACGATTAGATGTTGCTCTTAGCTCCCAGCATTTTGTTACCTAAACTCCTCTATTGTGGATTACGCCAAGCATTTTTTCAACAGGATTTATGTATCAAATGGACCTAAGTGAGCGACCATATTTTACTTTTCTCACTCCTTACATCAACGATCACTGCACCCCAGTGTCTTTCTGAACGTTTACGCTAGATATTTTTTTTAAATTTACATTGATTTTAATTATCAAAGTATTCATCTCGGCAGACGTTCGGTAGATGACCCAGATATATTTTGATTTCATCATATTCACCTCAACCATCCTACCGGACTTGTCAAGCACTTGCCTTTCTCCCGTGATAAATCATTGTTCATTGTTCAATAATGCAATTGGAGCTTTGGACCGGAGAACCATAAATGCTAGAAGTATGGTTTTTATTTATGCTTGACGTTTGGAATATTCATCGGATATGATCATGCTGAAAATCGCATGTCTAGTAAACAAAAGAATGTGCATTATCATCATTATTACTTGAGCCTTCGGGGCTTGAAAATCCGTAGGAGATACTGTATTGTTTTTAGGTAAGAACATCATCAAACACTTGTTGCACCATTTTCCAGAATATTGGTGTCTTGATTTAGCAAACTGCACTCAAAAATTGCATTTGAAACATACGCGCAATCTAAATAGTATATCGTTGATGCAGAGTGGGAATAGCGAAGAAACCATCACGACACTCTCTGAAACGACTGGGAATTAGACTTCGGCAAAAATAATGAGACAATGGTAGAATGCGGGTAAAATAGCCAAGATTTGACTGGTCCCGTAGGATGGTTTGTGTGAATTGCGTACGTTTAAAATTTTTACACCAAAGTGCAATGCACATCTATGGACTCACCATATTATTCACCTTAACACACAAGTAAGTCCGACTACCCCGATTTCGTGGGGTAGCTGAGCACGAGGTTTATCTGCGTCTTGTCGTCACCCAATGGACAGAAATCAAATCCGTTAAGGCCGATGGTGCAAGGCATCGTCAAGGCATCCTTTTAATAATGGGTAGCGTGAGTGCAGAAATGACAATAGTCGAAAGAGCGTTCCATGGTGGAAAAGTTCAAATAAATACTTCCGAGGGCATTCCATACGACTGTGTTGGATGGCCGGTTTTAGCTAGTGCTCTCACAATCTGGTGTTGCAAATAAGCTTCAGGAGGTGGTGACAACCTTGCCCGAGGTTTCTCAACATCTGGTAGGCCAGAATGTGGTCACTCCATAGACAGCGATAACCTTCGCCGCATACCCCTAGGGTGTTCATTCGCAGATGGAATAACAGGTGGAACAATCTCTTCACATTTTGGTCGCTCGTTGCTGTGGGGTCTCCAATGCAGCCAGATCGAGTTTTAACCAGGGTTGTCAGACTTGTACTGCCTGTTCTACAAGAGGCCTCACATATGCATTGAAAATGTGGGGGAAAATGAAGGAGTCGAGCCTACGAGCGCCCTCCTTAGGAGACCGAAAGTTTGGTTCGTGGGTTTGGACTTCTTCGAGGACTGCGCAGAATAGCCGACGTCGCCTTGCGTTACCACCCATGGTTGTGCTACTGAGACGCGGTTTGCAAAATGTGGTCTCCAAGGTCATATGAGTTAGTGGACTTTGGCGAATGTGTGCAGTTTTGCACGTACCTGGGTTGAACGGAAATAGCTTTGTCTTTGACCTTTCAAAAGCGTGGTCTAGGTCTGGTCGCAGCAAGTCGAGATACTTCTGTTAGCCGATCGCCCGCCATATTTTGATGTAATCGGCAAAATACAGGAAATTCGACTCCATGACACGCGCATGGTCGTTGAGGAGGACCCTAACAAGTGTGGCCCAACAGCGGCGCTTGCAAAACATCGCTATTCTTATCAAAAGAACCAGAAAGTGAGTACCATACACGAACATGAAAGCGCCGTCGAAGAAGGAAGTTTCCGATTCAACCAAAGAGAGGGTTGAATATTCCGTATGTTGGCAGCTTTCGGAGGAGGATCCGGTGGTCTAATCAGTCGAATGCATCGGAAAAGTCGAGATAGATGACATCAGTCCCGGTCCTACTATCCGCTGTTATAATCCAACCGCCACGAGCAACCAGTAACTTGGTAAGACATGATCGATACCCAAGGTATCCGGGTTGCTCCGGTGCTATGATGTTAGACCTTGAAGGTAGCTCATTGGTGTCTCCGTTATGATCGACTCCATCACCTTTGAGAGCACCGGGAGGAGAGTCACTGGGTGATGGCTGGCTCTGAACAGCTACCACCCTAGAAAATCGGGTAGACGCTACCCGACTTCCACATGGTGGGAACTTACTGTTCTTCCCGGCATCTTTAAAAATATTGCTTTAATGGTTTAGATATTCTCGCAGCTGCCATCTACAGTGCATTCGTAAGAATGCTGTCAATAACAGGGGAACTATGGCCAATGAAAGCAACTTTCGCAAAACAGTCAGTGAACTAAACCTGATGTGGGTAAGTACTGGCATCTGGGGTAACGGTACAGATATGTGACAAGTTTGGGTCCTGCATATTGTAGCCGTAAAGCGTTGGCTGCATTCACGGTGGTTTGAGCACCTCCATGTTCACGTTCCGGAGGCCGTTTACATCTTTGTACAGAAGCCAGTTGTTAACACAAAACTTTTCAGAAAAGAGTAGTTGGTGTACTAATTTGTCCTCACGGACAAGTTTCGTACAGTAATTCCCATGCACTACATAGTTGCTCCAGTTGTTAGGACTAGTGGTCGCTCTTTACACTTGGCACGTTGCGTCTGTTAACGCCATGGGTTTCGGGCTCTGCTCGAAGTGAATGTCGCAGCTCTTGAAGAGCGGAGGGGCCCGCTTTCTGATGCTGATATAATCAGATCACTGAACACGTCAGCAAACTCCCTCTAGTCACAATCGATGGTACAGTTATCGGAAAAGGCCCAGATGACTTCTCCAATGAGTTCTCTTAGTATATCTCAGTGTGTGCTTTTCCGCAACAAATCAATATATTGTTTTGGGTATTCCGCATAACCCACTTAGTCGTAAAATATTATTACGTGATCTTTCAGTCCCATAGATCTCTTCATAGTTAGTTCCTCAAACATGAACTCTTCGGTCGTGAGCACTAAATCAAGTACAGATAGTTAATTTCCCGCTCTGAATCTGGTGGACGAATGGACATGGCTGAAGAGTGGACTGCTTTTAATAAACGCTCGTAGATCGGCCTTAATTTGTTCGCTAGGTAATGCCAGAACATCCAGATCATGAGGACTATTATTGAACAACCGTGCCTGAGATACGGGACCATGACCTGTTGGGCGTAGGGGGGACATACGTCGCAAGTGGGGGGGGGGTCTATGAGGGATGGGTGCACAGAGTAATTGAAGTTACAGGCGCGAATGTGTGGACCTGGGCAGCTGGGAGGCTGGGGGAGTGCGAGGGTAGGAGGGTGGGGGTGAGTGGACAGGGGGGGACATGTGGGGTGTATAAACAGCTACCCCAAAGCAAGATGTCGCAGCGACATCAGTTAGCATGTGGAAGCACAGGTTGAGGAGTCTATGTAGTCCAACGTTTCCGGGGGGGGGTGATCGGGAGAGGGCGGACGCCGGTTTGGGGGTCCGGACCGACCAGTGAGGTCGGACGAGGTTAGTAATGGGAGATAGCGAATTAGGAGGGCAGGGGGGGGGGGCCGGACGCCCTTGGCGGTGTGTAGGCGGGCGAGCGGCAGGTGAGGGGGGCGTGTCAGGCGAGGCGGGGGGGGGCAAGGTCGCGTGGGGGGGGGGGGGGGGGGGTAGTTGCGGTTCGGGAGTCGAGCTGGCGGGGGGGGGTGTCTGTTTGCTCAGAGATGGCAGATGGTGTCGGATCAGGGGGGTACGATACATTCAGGTGGAGCGGGGGACATCGATCAGGGGGTGGGCAAACAGTCGAGGTGGTTGCACTTCTGGATAGAACGGTGACAGTGCAGGGGGACACACGGATTTAATATATGAGAATGCGTGGCTGATGTGGCTTGAATAAGGGGAACACTGGGTAACGACCAATAAAGATAGAGGGGGAGAGAGGGAGTAGGATTGGTAATAGCCCTGTAGCGCACTTTCAGCCAGCGGTTCCGCATGGACATTATAAGATAATTTCTATTTGGTAGTGTGCTGATACTGCAACAATTAGTCATGCTCTGTAACTAAGATTCGTCATGTTGGCCTTAGCACGTAACGACCAATTGCATGCAGTAGTTAATCGGGGGACTTGCGTTCTGTCTTTTGGGCTGTAAAGAAGTAATAATTGTCGCGTGACGTCGTGTTGAAGAGCTAATGAAAAAATTCGGTACCGCCAAAGTTCTCATCTTAGTTTTTTGCTCGAGAGTGGGGAGTATGCGTGGGAGCGAAATTATTAGTAGCGTGTTCTGATATCGCGGGCGAGAGGGTAATTATCCGACCGTCCAGTTCGAAAAATGTCGAGTCACTCCTACATCCTGTTATTGCCGGTGGGAGTTGCATATCGGGGTGACTTTTGCGACGAACAAGTATACTTACGTGTACTGATCAAGAGTCTGGAGGGTTTTCGTTCAGATTCTATCTTAAACGCAAGGGTTCTGAGACTATGTCTCTATATTGCATACGGGGGGGGGGGGGGGGGGGGTTGGTAGAGGTAGGGAATAGGGGGGGGGGGTTTTGGGGTTTGGGTAGGGTGGGTTTGGGGTGTGTACCCTACAAGCAACCGATGTGTATGCAGAGTAAATAGTTTGCACTCTAGACATTAAAAGCGTGCATGCTGTCGTCTCTGTGTCCTCGGGTTCAAGTAGTTCGCTTGCGAGTTGCTGACATTAAAGTGATCTTGTTCCTGCGAGTCCATAGTGAAATTGAGCGTCCTCCTCTTCAGCAGACCCACAAGGTTGCTGCTATCAGTTGCTCCTCCGACCGAATACACCTTACAATGAATTAGCAATATCTAGCCTCCTGGATTCAGACGGCAACCTCCACATCGTTTGTCGTACTAACCAGATCGACTCCACCGAGGCAGCGCAATAACCTTACTAGACATTATCCTGGATTCAAAGCAGATATGTTCACGCAATGGCTGTCCGCGGTGATATCCTAGAGCTGACATACGCATTTTCGACAGGGTTTCCCCATCGCAGATGAGTATGCCAGTGTGTCGCGACTGATGACAGTGCACATTTGGTACTTTCCCGGTTTTACATCTCTTTGAAGCGTTAATCCTGTGGGTTCCCTTGGCGCCTCTGATGAATACTTTTACATGTACACTCGCTGAGTTGGCTAACTCCTGCAATAGTTCTTTAATCCTTGACATTAGCTAGTTTGTTCTGTGCAGGTCACAGTTACTCGGTTGAATACTCGGGAGTATTTAGCGCAGAACGGCGCCGCCGTGGATACGTAAGTCGACTGCGCAATGTCAATCTTCTGTGATGCAGTTTTTCTTACAGGCTAGAACAGCGTACATCAACTGGTGATTTCGCGTAGAACAACGAGCTCAGGCGCGGTGATGAAGGCACGCACGCAGTGTAATAATCCTAGTATCCTTGCGAATCGCTTCAAGCAAACGGGTACCACTTCACCAAGCTACGCATCCCGCACGCACTCGGTCCTATAGTTCGCGTACGTCTGGTAGTTCGACAGTAAACATTGCCTTCAGGACTCCACCACACACGTGCTACATCACCGCTAGCACAGTCCTATTTGTTTCGCACGCTTCTCGTCTCCATCGAATCGGGTGTCATTCATGCTCTATGCCCCCCGGGTACACGTACTCTCACATCTGATATTCTGCCGCATCGTGAGTGTCAGTATAGTATTCGTTTGCGTATCGCAGCTTTTTCCCCATCGTATCATTAGCTTGCCCGTACTGTGACTTACTTTTCGCTTGATACATGCGCGAGTTGCGATATCGTTCTAATGTTGTCCCGCTCTTGAAGCTCTAATGGTCTTTAATTACTCCTCGGGCACAAGAGCGTATGCGTACCAAACGCTTAATCTCCATCGTTTCATTAAATATCACTGAGGCGAGGTCGCTGTGACCAACACCAAACGCTATACTGTCCGATCCCGCGAATCATATCTCGGGTTGGTCCTCACGGTCTGCACATCGTTATTCGATCGCCTCTCCGCCGCGCTAGCACCTTTTTCCCTCTGGACTCCTCTTCCACAGGTCACTGAGTGCGTCGCAACATCGTTGTCGTGCTCGTCTCGACGAATCTTCCGTTATCCCCGACTCTGTCCACTCAGCTCGTGCCTCAAACTTGTAAGTCCCTCCTTTGATGTCGTCACTACGTTCCGTCTCTTGGTCCTCGTTCCTCCTCCGAGGTGATAATCATTCGTCTTTTTCTCAGGTTCCACGGCTACTGACCTCGTCCTGTAGCTAATCCTAGTCCTGCCTTAGTCGATTCGCATTAAGCCTCGGTAGACCAAATATGTGATAACTACAGATTGCATATGAGCAATACCTGCCGCTTTGAAACACACAAGTATAATTTAATCTGTGACTAAGCGCTATAGCATGAATCCTCGGTCAATCACATCTTTGGTCGATTCAACAGTTTCTCGACACAAGCGCATTTTGCCACGTTAATAAGGCAAACTCTATGTCGTTTACGATGAACTATGTTGACTAGCAAGCTTGGTTAGTATACTAAGCTTAGCTAAGCAAGAACGTGTGATGTTTGCGACTTAGCGCTGTCTGGGAATTGAGAGTGGCAACAGGATTCGTGACATGTCAGCACAAGCTAACAACAATGCTTTTGCGTATCATAAATGAGGCCAGATTCCATCGCGGACCAATGTCACTAGAAAATCGCTTTCGTAGATCTAACGGCGGATGGTTGATGGAGGCATGCGGCCATGTGCAAACTATCGTTCCGTATAGTTTAACCACGGCGTCGAATAGAGTTTGTGTCTACCGACCTGTTGGCTCTTGGAAAAACTACTCTTGCCAAACGAATACACGACAATCAATAGATTTCGCATTCCTATCAGACCTGTTGCAACACACTTTCATTCATCCTGTGGAGCGAAGAGAACACGCTAGTATGACGCGTAGCACCACGACAACGGCAGATTTGCCTCATTCCACGTGAGGGAGTAGATAACAGAACAGGGGGGGGGGGGGGGGGGGGGGGGGGGGGGGGGAACACATTTGCTAATCTCACAGATCTTTTGCGAGTTTCGTGACGACACTCTACTAGTATATACAATCCACACTTAGCTACGGAATATATATCGTATTGTCTGTTGAGTGGAATCAGTGATGAATTTAGCATTACCCAACAGACTGGTGATGAATATAGAAGGAGAATTCATAGACATATTGCAATGACACTAACAGATACTTGGCGCAATTACATATTTCTTACCTGCTTCATATCTATGCTCTACAATGTTATCATTTTTGTAGAAGTACCCTAATAGCTATAGTCTTTCGAATGTGCTATGTACCTCCTACTTTGTGAGCTACCCTTATCAATATATGAGGATAGACCGTACAAGATGAGAACATCAAAGCCGCTATGAGATCACTTGAGGCGCCTGGTTGCAACAGGGTTACATCAGAGGTTATCTGTGTGTATCCCAGCTGGTGAACCCGTGCAGCCTCACGAAACAACAAGACATACTGCAGTGGAGTGTAGTAGCATCGGGAATACAGAGTCGAAGAA